AACTAAATTCAAACAAATAAAATTTAAAGATAAACTATCAAAATCAAAGGTTTAGTTTAGAATATCTTAATATTTAAGGTATTATAATTCTTATTTTTTATTTTTTTTCTATAAACTTTGAAGTAGATATTATTTTATCATAAATAGTTCTCACGTATTTTCTCCATGTCAAAAAAACAGTACCGGAATGCAATCCAAACGACAGCAGAGAACCACATCACTGCAACATAAACAGCGCCGATCGCCATCTCAGGGCAAATAAATACATGAAACAGTAACCTACACTGTTAAATAAAAACCATCTTTTTTTATTTTCTGAACAACTATTCACCAATTACAGCAGCCAACGCGGCACCCTCCATACCAGTCATACTGACACCACACCAGGATACCTCCCTCCCCCCTAAGCAGATAGACAGGGGTGGCCGACAGCTCGACACCCGGATTTTGTGGACATCGATACCCTCTTCCTCTCATCCGTCCACGTGTCTTCGATCGACGGACATGATCCTCTTTCCCGCTAGTACGGCTCTCTCTCTCCCCCTTCAAAACATGCAATCCTTCGAATTTTCCATATCACCCCAATGTTTCAATACTACCCCTTCGGCTGTGTTTGGCTTAGAAGGATATGTAGGAGCAGTTTCTCAAAAGGTTGTGAGCGGGAAAGGAAAAACATTCGAAAATCCGAATTCATGGGGTATAATCATTTTTAATTGAATGAGTTTTGATCCATTATAAATGGGGCATGATTAATAATATATTTTTTTAGAAATGGCTCACAAATAAAAGACTCAAACGAAAGCCTTTAGAGAATATAATCAATTATATTTTGAACTTATTATTTTATTAAAAAATTCAATGATAGGTTACATTAGCATTATATGGATTGCATATATATATATATATATTCTCTTTACATAATCGATTATATCCATCTAAATCAATTATACTCCTAACAGAATTGGCCATCGTAGTTTGATAAAAAATAAAAAATCAGCCATCATATAGTTAGAATACCAATTTTGTAATTTTTTTTAAGAATATAAACTTTATTAACTTCTAATTAAAATAGTAAATTTTTTACCTTTTTATTTAAAAATGATAATTTTTTATTTTTTATTTAAGGAGGAATTAGATGATAATACTAACATGAAAAATGTAAAATTGGTATTTTTAAATAAAAAAGAGGAAATTTTGGTATTTTTAAATAAAAAAATTAAAGGTTTAGCATTTTAATTAATAATTAGCAAAGCCCATAATTTTAAATAAAAAAAATTGTGAAGATAGCATCCTTAAATAGAAATAAGAGAACGCTAGTATCTCTAAATGAAAAAAATTAAAAATTGACAACCTTAATTAGAAACTAACAAAATTAGTATTTTTAAATAAAAAAAATCATAAAATTAACATTTTTAAATAGAAAAAAGATAAAACTGATATTTTTAAATATAAAAAGTTAAAAATTTACTATTTTAATTAAAAACTAACAAAGTTCATATTTTTAAATAAAGAAAATTGTAAAACTAGCATTCTTAAAATGAAAAAAAAGGAGTAAAATTAGTATTTTTAAATAAAAAAAATTAAAAATTTACTGTCTTAATTAATTAGAAACCAACACAATTCATGTTTTAAAATATAAAAAATTACAAAATTAATATCTTTTTTTGCACCTTTTTCTATGAAATTGTAAACTCGACATGTTATTAAATAAGTGATTGGCTCAATATATAATATTATAGGTGGGTTTTTGAATAAAAAATTAATCATGTAATAACATATTAAGATTATTAATTTAATTTATAATAATATAAGATATTATAATTATATTATTTTCATAATATAATAAAAAAAGTAAAAATTAAGATGTTATGACATTAGGACGTCCATCATAATCATTCGTTAAGTGGGTTCTTAACTATAACTCATTTAACAAATGGCTATGATAAGATGTCCTGACATTAGAATGTTTTGTTTTTTCAGATTTTATAATATAATTGGTTATATTACTTATTTTTATGCTAGAATTTTTGAATTTTAAAGGAAATTGCTCAATTCTTTCACAAAAATATGCGAAATCCAAACATGCCCTTTGCTGGAAGAGGGTAATCATGTCATTACAAAATAGGAAGGATACCTGTAGTAGATTTTTTGTTTCGGGAGGGTAGGCTGGTAATTTAAGAAAAATTTTGTTACTAGAAGATATGCGGGGATATTTGTCAGAGATCAGACACTTCTCCTCAGTTCCCTGTGCTGCTCTTCTTCTCTCCCTTTCCGGCTTTCCCTTTCTTTTTCTCTCATTTTTTTTCTCGGCAAGCAGACGAAACCCATTTATTGCACGGACTTCGCCGAGAAGTTCGCTGTCAGATCGATTTCAACTTCAACAACTCCGTATCATAATTCTAAGTGAAGTTTGCTGTTTCGCAAAATAATGCAAGACATCCATTCCATCGATGCTGGTGGTCGGATATTCAGCGGCGGGGGAGCGGACCGTCGGATTCGGCCACACAACCACCAGAACCACCAGGCACTCAAGTGCCCCCGCTGTGACTCGCTCAACACTAAATTCTGCTACTACAACAACTACAACCTCTCACAGCCGCGCCACTTCTGCAAGAACTGTCGTCGTTACTGGACAAAAGGCGGCGTGCTCCGGAACGTCCCTGTAGGCGGTGGCTGCCGTAAGGCAAAGCGAGCGAAGACGAAGGCCTCGTCGGAAACGGCGACGGAAACGCCTTCGCAACAGCAGCGTGATCAGCGGAAATCGAATTCTCATTCAAGCAGCGAGAGCTCAAGTCTCACCGCTGCCAATTCCAACGTTGCAGCGACGAATGGTGCTATTAGTTCTGCTGGCGGCACTGCGGAGGCTGTATCAGCACAATCTTCACACACAAATTTGTTAACCACAACGGATTCTAAGTTTTACGTCCATGGAAACCCTAATCCCAGCTTCGAGTCAGGCCTGCTGGAACAAGGATCGGATTGCGGTATATTTTCCGATATTGGAACTTTTACAAGCTTGATTACATCGTCGTCAAATGAACCACTGTCGTTTGGATTCGGAACAACACTGAATCAACATGTTCTAGCTCCTGACCAGGAACATCAGTGGCATAGTCAGAATCAGCTGAAGACGATCATGGCTGGGGAGGAAATCACGGCCGGGGGTTTGCTTGATCAGACGGTGCAGGTTGAGCTATCGGCTTTACAGAGCAGATCCAATGGTGGAGAATTAGGACCGCTAGATTGGCCGGGAAATGGAGATCAAGGACTATTTGATCTTCCTAACACCGTCGATCATACATACTGGAGTCAGAGTCAGTGGACCGATCAGGACCATTCTAGCCTCTACCTCCCGTAAATTTCTCTCTTTCTTTTCTTTTCTTTTTTTTTTTTTTTTTTTTTTTTTCTATTAACTACCAATTTCAGATTTTTCTACTTAACAAAAATGAAAATTAAACCTCTCAGAAAAAAATTAAAAAAAAATGAAAATCAAACAAAGCCTCAAGGCTGGAGCTAGAGAAATTGAGAGAGTTCTATCGATATATGAATTTATATGACTTGTTCTTGTATGTAAATTTTTTAATATTGTTCTTATTTTGGTTTGATTGATTCTCATGTTCTTTGGACTAATTTCGTGTTAATTAGTATTTTTTTTTTCAAAATTGGGATTGAAAAATAAAGAAGTTATAGTGTTGAAATTTATTTTATTTACTTACTTAAAAATATTATAAGAATTTTTTAAATTT